ACCACACAAACACAAGAAATAAAGATCATTTAACTGTTAATAACTTGCAGAAGGTATTCTTGTGACGAATGTTGAAGGTGACGGACAAGCAGCAGAAGCAGCAGCAGTAGCAGCAGCATTAGAAGCAGCGACAGCACCAGTGGAGGCGTAGCAGCCGAGATTCGTGTAGCCGTGACCGAGGCTGGAAACCTCGGTCCGGTTACGACATCAAGGAATATGGATTCCACGTCAAGGCAGAGAAGTGTAGTTTATTCCAGTCGCAAATCCGCTACTTGGGACACATCGTGGACCGACAAGGTATCCGTCCAGACCCCGAGAAGATCAAAACCATCACTGCAATGCCACCTCCAACCAACGTCACTGAGCTGCGATCGTTTCTGGGCGCGGTCAACTTCTACGGAAGATTTGTGCGCAACCTACGAGAATTGCGCTGCCCCATGGACAAGCTTCTGAAGAAAGAAACAAAGTGGAAATGGACATCCGAGTGCCAGCAAGCTTTCGAAAAGTTCAAGGCAGTTCTTCAATCAAACATGCTGTTGACACACTACGACCCCAAGCTGCCAATCATCGTGGCAGCAGACGCATCAAGCACTGGCATCGGTGCAGTAATCTTTCACCAGTTTCCCGATGGCATCATGAAGGTTGTGCACCACGATTCGAGAACACTTGCACCCGCAGAACGTAATTATGGACGACCTGAAAAGGAAGGACTTGCGTTAGTCTACGCATTGACGAAGTTCCATAAGTATTTGCTCGGACGAGATTTCACATGGTTGACCGACCACAAGCCATTGCTGTATATTTTCAATTCGAAAAAGGGAATTCCACTGCACACTACGAACAAACTGCAACGCTGGGCACTCACGATACTCAATTACGACTTCGAAATTCAACATGTGCCCACCAGCGACCCGGCTCATCGACCGAACCAATACACCAATTTGTGATTGCAGCACTCACCATGGAAGAAGATTTGGTAAGCATCCTGGCAGACACAACGGAGTTGGATCATAGCAATCACTGGAACACTATATAAACGGTGCAATTGACAAGTATTGATGGAGTGCGGGTGATGAATAACATCCGAAGTAACAAAGCTGTATCCAAGTCCACAGCCATGGCCTTGTTAGACGTCGAAAAGGCGTTTGACAATGTCTGGCACGACGGACTTATATACAAGCTTTGTAACTCCAACTTTCCACCATACCTTGTGAAAATCACCCGTAACTATCTCCAGCAAAGGTCGTTCAGGGTGTCGTTGAATAGTTCCCTTTCGGGACAATTTCCGATCCCAGCAGGTGTTCCGCAAGGGAGTCTGCTGGGACCACTGCTTTACAGCATCTACACGTCGGACATACCTCCTCTAGGAGACGGTTGCGTGTTCTTTCTGTTCGCAGATGACACCGCGATAGCCGTCAAGGGTAGGATGCCTCGTGAAATTACGAACAAGCTTCAACGATGCCTTGACACCTTTACTGATTATGCCACCTCGTGGAAAATCAAAATCAACGCCTCGAAAACCCAAGCGATCATGTTCCTTCACAGACAATCACCAAAACTTAAACCGTCTCCCTCCTGTACCGTAATAATGGATGGTACAAGGGTCGAGTGGTCCACTGATGTTACTTATCTCGGGATGTTGTTCGATGAGAAGCTCCTGTTCCGCTCGCACATAGAGAAAACCCTAGTTAAGTGCTCCGCCTTGGTTAGGTGTTTGTATCCGCTCATTTGCCGCAGATCCCGCCTCTCAAGGCAAAACAAACTGGCTGTTTACAAACAGATCATAGCCCCCGCGATCTTCTATGCCGCCCCGGTGTGGGAATCGTGCGCTCAGACCCACAGGAACAAAATCCAGGTTGCACAGAATAGAGTGTTGAGGATGATCCTAGATCGTCCATTCGACACAAGAATAGCAGACCTCCATCAAGAGGCAGAAATTCCCAAAGTAGATTCCAAAATTGATGATATGACAACTAAATTTATTCAAAAATGCAATCTTTCTGAACATGCTTTAATAAGCAATTTGTACATAGTAGGTTAAGTGTATATAGTAGAGTAAGTTAGTTTTAAGCTGTAAATAGTAGTATTAAGTAGTTTCTCTTCAAATTCTAAAAACAAAACAAACCAATCCCACCAAGGTGGTCGACCGTGTACTAAGTCTAGGACTAATCCTGTAAAACAAATTTTAAATTTTGCCCATACCTAAAGATGAAGAAAGCAATTAAATCACTTAGTATAAAAAAAAAAAAAATTTATATGGTAATCGTCCAAGTTAAACTAAAATAAAGATCATTTAATCAATCAAGTATTGATGGAATATACGTTAGACCTTGAATAAAGAAACATCTCTAGTATTTATCAAGCTATCTTTCTATTCCGGAACTACTTTCCGGACACATCACTACGTGACTCCCTTCACGCCGGAACAGAATGAAAATGACTTGAGGCAGCATGTTCATGACATCACCAATGTTGATTCATCTCAACTGAAAATCACCAAGCTAGTCCCTCGAGGAAAGAGTCTGGAGGATCTTTCATTCGTCTCTTTCAAAGTTACCGTATCCAAAACGGTATCGGAGGTGGTTGGCGATCCGTGGTATTGGCCTGATTGAATTACTGTCCGCATGTTAGAACATAACCAAAACAAACAAAAACAGACTCTCTGTCCGTCTTCCGAAATCATCATAGATACTCGCTCTTTAATCCCAGGACGCACCGTAGCAGACACTAAGGAAGACCCTTATCCGTCTGACACAGTCGTGCTGCATCCTGAGCTCAACTACCAACGTCGAAGTCGTCCTGGCCCTGTGTTCAGTTCTGGAGGCAGGGTCTTCCAAGCTGCCCTCTCAGGCAAGCATCCTTCTGTTAAGAACAATTCATACGCTGAAAATCTTCCATCTCGTAGCTTCAATACCTCTGATGCAACACAACATCACTATCCGACCATTGTGGAACCGTGATGGCGTGCTCAAATGTTACTAAGCAACATCCGGGACGTACCAAACGCATGATTGACCTGCTAACGCCGAAATCATGGATTTATTTGATGTTGTCTGCTTGATAGGCCCAAAATGGGCGTTTAGGCCAACGTAGTTCTCTACCCTATTCGAGTAAATTCGAGATTTGTTGGCTTCTTTCTAGAGTCCTGGAGAAAACATACTTTAATTCGAAGTGTTTCTGGTTAATTGACAAGGTCATGTGGTATTCGGTCATTGAAAGAATTTTTATGAACCACTTCAATACTGTTACACATTTGATCACAAATGTTCGGTTGCTGGGTACATTATCAAAGAGCTTTGGGGTGATGTGGTGGTCCTGAAAAGAACCTTTTTGTCGTGATGGTTGATTATTGCTGAGCTAATAGTTGTTTGGAATGAGGGTGACGCGCGCGGCATAGATGGTCCACAGTGACTCACGAAGAGCTACTGAATCCGATCAGTAGCGGTGAATTTAGGGCTCTTATGGACAGCCTTGAAAACTAGCTGCTTGTGGGGAACCTTTCGTTGTGCTGGAAAAAATGTACAACGTCACGCGCCGAAAGCACTGCTGCTGCTGCTGATGATGACCGGACACCACCACTCACCACACGCTGTGATTGAATAAACACCGTTTGGCGAGACCGGATGGAATTCGATTTTGAAATCTGTGTTAGGGATAGCTTTTTTCGCAGGCAATTGAATCGGATTTTCATTTTAATTATCCTCAGAATTTCTTTGGAATTGTACGCTCAAAATTAGGTTTACAGTACTTGTTCGCTAACTGGGCCAAAAGCGCAGCCCAGTTAGCGAATTCCACTCGCTAACTGGGCTGACTCAGCGGTGCCGGTGGTGTAGTGGTAAGCGTGATTACCTCTCACCCCAGCAGGCCTGGGTTCAATCCCAGTCGGCGCCGCCGGGATGTTCTGAGGCATAACATCTCTGATCACGTCTTCCTTCGGAAGGGAAGTAAAGCCGTTGGTCCCCGGTTCATGAGTTGATGGGTCGATAGGTAGGGTCCAGGTGTGGGAGCTGCCTTCCTGGCGTCGGTAGCATTGGTGCTCAGCACGGAAAACAAGATCGACGGAAAACAAACCAAAGAAAAAAAAAAAAAAAAACTGGGCTGACTTGTCAAACGTAAAAAAAAACACTGAGAGGAGCTACAATGGATTGTTTGATCGACTTTAATAAAAATTCATGTGCATTGAATTGATACAGTGTAAAGTTTGTCATTGTTATTTTCACAGCATTCAATCTAGCTAGTTTAGAAAGACTTAATACTTTTGCTCATAACGCTTTTAAGTCGTGATTTCAGTGTGAAATGAAAATAATTTCAAATTTATTTACATTATATCACTTAATATTCCATTCGAATGCCCCTCACCAATTATGACAACTAAGGCCCTTATTACCGATGTCACTTCACGGTGAAGTGATTCCCATTTGATTTACACGGCAATCACTTCACTTCGTTTTCACCGTGAAGCGACACCCGTAATAAGGGCCTAAATGTCTATTTTTGACGTATAACTGCTTTTTAACTGGGCTACAACCCATTTAACGAACGCTCAATTAAAAAACAGCCCAGTTAAAGATCGCCCAGTTAGCGAACAAGTACTGTACAAGATTTTCCACAGAGCTACTTAAATTTGTTTAACCTGAACTTGGATGGTTGTTGGTGGTCTTTATTAAGGAGATTTTCAGCCAGACGTTGGTTCATCTCCGGACACTCTGAACTTTACTCTAAAACCATTAAGAGCTAATTACAAAACTCCCTTTAATTTTCTCTAAAATACCTTGGTGTTAGCCCTGACATTCATTCTACAAAATCCATAAAGAAAATCTAATCTAGTACAAGAATCTTAAGGTTCAAAATCTTAAAAAAAAGGGTTAAAGGGGGTTATTCCGAGAGTCGAAGTGACTTTTGTCACCGGCTTTTCCCGGTGTACTGCTTTGATATTTGATGAGACCTTGGTCTTAAGTAAATGCACCTGAAAAAAGTAACTGACTATTGCCAACACTTACCAACTAAACGTGGAGCTCTGACTGAAATATGGAAGCCTTTTGTACCATCTGGTCCTTTCGGTGCACGAGTTACTGTCAAACGTGGTCCGCTGTCGTCAACAGAGTTGAGCTTGATACGCGATAGGAGCCGCTCGGCGCGCACTCCATTCGCGTCCGCTACCTTGATCATGTTACAGGCCGATGTTTTGCCGTTGCGCTGTTTTTTTTTGTCGAAAAGCATAAAAATAAGGATTAAATTAGAACATCGTACTGATAATTTGAAAGCGCAAAAAAAAAAGAAAACCACAAACAAAGCATAACGTGGTACGATTACTCTACACTTGCCTGGTTAGTAACGATGGAAAATTCAACCGAATCGCCGGGATACAGACAACCGCCGCCCTGGACTTCTGACATATGGAAGAACAGCTTCTTGCCTTCCTCGACTTCAAAGTCCAGAAAACCGAACAGACCCTTCACGGAGTCGACCTTGGCTTGCTTCTTAGTACGGATCGAGGTGACCTGCGGACATTTCAAAAAGTAGCAATTTGAAAGATCATCATTATTTTCGCGAACAACGAACATACCTCAACGGCACGGTTCTGTTCATCGACCTTAAATGTTACCATATCATCCTTCTGCAGCAGATCTCGCTTATTCTTCAGACTGGTGATGCCGAATTCATGCGTCGATATAGATTCGCCGGCATCGCCACGCACTTGCACTAGTCCACAGTATTCCGATTGATCGGGATTGATGCAACGAAGCGGACGCAGAACCATACCGTTGTACACGGCTGGCAGTACCTTCGGTTGCGAGATGCTACCCTTCGGGATGATTTTCACATTTTCGGCCGGAATGCAGTTACCAGCATTGACGGCACTGCGCGTCGACAGCGAATACTCCACCTCGTTACCGAGCTCGAGGGCACTAGTGTTGCCGATAAAGTTGCTAAAGTGGAAGAATACTTCCTGATCGTGCTCGACTGTTTCGATGAAGCCAAAGTTCTCCTGCAAGGGTTGGTTTGAGTGAGGTTCGTTTTTTTTTAAATAAAAAAAAAACTGTCAAATTACCTTTAATACAGCAATGAAACCATGGTGAACCTTGCCGGGCTTGATGTTGCCGTTGGCGTAACTGGCCTTCATCATGGCCGAAGTGCTATTCAAGCGGTTGCCGTTGTTCATTCCAGCGCTCGGCGAGTTAGGTTGCTGCTGGAGGTTGTGCAGAGAAGCCAGCTGGATTTGTTGCGGTTGCTGTTGTTGCTGTAGAGCCTGCTGCTGGTCGCCGCCGCTAAGCGACGTCTGGTGCTGCAGTTGGTTAGTGATTTCCTGGATGTTAGTAGCGATCAACTCTTTGTTACGTTTAACCTGTCGGGGGTAACAACACATTTTAAACAATCGATCAATCCTCCCTTAGAATATCAACTCACTTGACAGATATTGAATCTAACTTTATCACCCACACGCGGTGCTTTATCACAATCTTTCAAGAAATACATTATAGTCTTTTTGTTGGGGCCTTGGCCGTAGGAAATGACACCACCCTCGGTACGTTCCTGCGACTTGATCGGGCTCTTGGGAGCCTCGCGCGATACGATACCCTCGACGTTGCTCTCAATCAGGGTTTCGAACTTGACCGTTCCCGTCGGTAGGTGTTTGATACGAATCGCACTCTGGCGAGTGTTGGCAAAGCTCGAGCCAGGATCCTGGATTACGGTGAATTCTACCTCGTCGTCAACGCATATCTCGCGACTCTGCAGGACAAAAAATATAAGTTTTAAAGGCGCAAACATCATTTACAAGAAAACAATATCCTTACCGTATCCAACACCTCGGTGAAGTGGAAAAACAGTCTTATGTTACGCTCAACGCAGCGCAGAAAGCCGAAGCCTTCCTTGAGCGAAGCCACAACGCCTTGCTCGCGCTTCTCGCCGGAAACCTGGAAGGTTTCGTCCAGCAGCGAAATTGACGTCGCACGCTGCAGTTGATCGCGGCGGTCGGTCGCCAACAGGAACTGCACCCAGTCACCGTGGCGCAGGGTGAAGTCACCCTTCTGGTCCTTGTCCCCGAATGGCACTTCTACTTCCGAATGGTCGGCAGCTCTATATCTAATTCGTCCGGGAAGCGGATCGTTGTTCTGTTGCCGCAGCTGATTATTGCGATCGAGCGACTTGAGCACCTGGCCCTTGTAGATGGTGGAATCGACGTCCTCGAAAATGACCGACCCCGGCGGGAGACGGGCGATGTTGCATGCAACCTCTTTGCCCTGCTTTGAAACGAAATAAAAAAAACCATATATATTTGAGCTCACTTATCATGTGTTGCAAAAAAGCTTTACATTTCTGGTCTGTATGATGAACTCAACATCGTCTCCCGGGCGCAGCTCGATCGTGTTGTCGGTTTCGGAAAAGTGGAAAAAGATCTCCTTGACCACATCCGCACGCTCGATAAAACCGAATGTGTCCTTCATCGAGCAAACCACCCCGCGATACTTGACCGGATGAGCCGGATTCTCCAGCCGAATATGGCATGCTCCCAAGTTGCCCCTAAAAATCCAAAACAAATTATGCTCCCCTTTCCCTTCAATAAACCATCCGAACCTACCTTTGATTGGTGGCAATCTGAAAGCTGACCTTGTCGCCAGCTCTCAGACATACATTTCCCTCGACATCATCTTTGGTATAAGGTAGGAAAAAGCACTCGCCCCGGTTTTCGTAGCTGATCCGACCGGTCGTGGTGTCACTCGAGGAGGCCAACGACAATTCGGTCTTCAGCTCGGTGGTAACCGTTCCGGTGACCCGTTCCTCCGACAGGACCACCTCCGGAGCAATCTTGGTCACCTGACTGGCGATCGGTTTTCCCGTACGACGATCGTACGTCATTTCGAACTCAACCGGATCGCCAATCTTCAGGTGCTCGATGGTACCACCGAACTGAGAAAAGTGGAAGAAGAGCCTAGCCTGGCGCTCGCAGCACTGGATGAACCCGTACGAATGCTGAAAGTGACGTCATTTTAATAAGAAACCACACTTACATTCCCTGTGAGGTAGAAGAAGAAGAAGAAGAAGAAAAGCTCCACTCACCAGCAACTTTTCGATGATCCCGGTTTCACGGGTTCCTTGATTGGCGTCGGCCCCGTTACTATTGGATTGACTTCCTCCACCGTACGAGTTGCTTGAGTTACCACCGCTAATACCGCCGGAAGGACCGCCATTGCTTCCACTACCGCCACCGCTACCACTGCCGGACATAACCGAATTAGAGCTGAACACTCCAATGGTACCGGTATTACCGGACCCTCCGAGAACGCTCATCGAATCGCCACCGCCAAAGACCGTATTCTGGCTCTGGGGAGCCGCCATGGTGGCAGAATCCAGCGTGAATGTTCCGATCGGTGGGAACGAGTTCGACGGTGTCATCGGAGGCCGCGAAGCCGAGGACGGATTGCCCTGGCCGCCGAAGAACATGTCCCGCTGACCGTAGTCGACGTAGTCCATGAATGGACCAGCTGTTTTAAAAGAAAAACAAAAAAAAAGTTCATGAATGTTCAACAAAAGTAATCATACGAATCCGCGCATATCAAATTGATGAAACCATCAAACCAACGAAATGAACCTGAAGATAGCTAATTTACCATCCGAATGGGGTGGAATGAAAGTAATTATGTGTCATTTATTTGAGACTACCCCCGTTCCGACTCATTGCAATAATGTAGCGAAGCACATACATAGGTAACACCGGGTCGCTGGTCATCCAATCGTTAATGCGTAATTATTGAGTTTATCACCCAATTACGGTTTTTTGTGTACTTTCCTGTTCAGCAGAAGGATATGGAGCACAAAGCGCGAGGAGACACAGAGCGGTGAAATAACGCCCATAGGGCCAGAGATTCAAAAAAAAAAGGTGAGTAGCACAACGGATGCGTCATAACAATGAATAAATTAATTGAAGGGTGCGTTTGGTGCATCAAATGTGATAATATATCAAACGTAAGTCTGGGAATGTTACTATCTTAGCATATCTCGACCAAATTTTCATATCGACCTAATTGCTTTTGTAAACAAATCGAAATTGATAGCTCGTCCATGCAAACTTACACCAATGGTGGTATTAGTTTGCGTGGGTTTGCTATCAGTTTCTATAAATTCAAGAAAAGACATCATCAGCTTTAGTAAACAAAACTTTCTGCGGCATGCGCCAGCCAATGGCTGAAAATCTCTTTAATAACGAAACCTAACCTAACCTTTTTGCGCCCTTGCCAACAACACTATCGGCTGGAGGAAGCTGTCCTCTACCTGATGGTGTTGTACTGGGTTTGTATAGCTGAACTCCGATTCATGAGAAAAGACCGCAAGAAGTTTTGTTTACAAAAGCTGATGAGGAGACCTTTTCCATTGTTGATCTTGAATTGACGTTTGAAGTAATCATTATTTACAAATGCATTTACGTCGGTATGAATAGTGAAATCCAATCAGCCACCAGCCACCCTAGGCGCTGTTGTCGTAGCGGTGATAACAAATGTAAACAACTGTCAAACGCGACTCGCATCATAATTTTCACTTTTAAAATTGAAAATTTGCCTTTTTCTGTACGTTTTGGTGATCAAAAGGCTTATAAAATTATAGGAAAAGTGGTCTTCTGCAAAATGGTTAGTGGCTTCAGTAATATAATTGCTTGCAATCAGGAAAAAAGTTGATTTTTAGACTACGTAAACGCAAGCTCTTCTGCTTAACATTTTCTTTGATGTTGCAGGATCGTTGCATTATCCCGGGATGCACCGAGGACAAATTTTCGCAGTGAAGAAAGGTTACCACTGTTTACGGAACAGGGACAGAGCGGATATGCTCCCATCATTTTGTTGAAGCAGACTTTTTAGAATATAATTTGGGTTTGTTGTCGTGTGGTAATTTTAGATTATTTTCTTGTGGTCGATCCCCGGGAAGGGAACTTTGCAGCACAAAACCATTCCCCTCAATTCTTGCTTTCCTGCTGATCTACTGGCATACAATATGTTAGGTCTCTAAATCCGCTAGCACGGAGTGATCAACATAATCCAGTATATCCAGCAGACTGACTTGGACGTCAAACGCATTTTCATTATTTTTCAATGACATTGCAATGGAAATTAACATAACATTACATTATTCGACAAATTTCCTACATGTATCATCCATAATAATGATCGTATCGCTCTATTTTGAACCTTTTTTTCATTTTCATTTTCATTTTGCAGCGTTTGGTGGGGCAACGGGAGCGCAAGTCAATCCAAAGCCGAGGATAAAGGACGGGTAATGGATGAATAGTCTATGCGGACCACTTGAACGCCATGGGAAAAGGAAGGGATTGAAGATGCCGGTTATTGGGGGGTTTTGAGGAAAGGACACATAGTGATGCTAAATGTAAAGAAACCGAAAATCCATCTCCCACTGATTCATCCTTTCACATATATACCAAATTGATATTTTAAAGCAATAATCAAAATAAACAGACAATATATGAAAAGGCTAGTTGCCAGTTGCTTTAAAGGCTAGTTGCCTCCCTAAGCGGACCCTCCGCATCCTAACTCTTCTGTTAATCCACTTAATGCTACTAGGCTGTCTAAATTTTCTTATGTAAGTTCGTTTGATGATTATGATATCTCTAGTCTAATTTAATGAATAATTGAAATCTCTAATCTACCTACCATGCTTTATTAAGTACCTGCACTTGTGAATGTAATCTAAAATTTAACGTGTTTCAAGTTGTTTTTTACTTTGACCTATATTTTATATATATTAGTTCGTCCCAGGTGACACCTTCAAGTGACTAAAATGCTTCACTTTGAAGTAAGTTTCCTAGCTGATTTGAAATTACATAGGCTATATGCTTCAACTACGCTCACACGTTTCCACTATGTCGCACCACAAAAATACGTTATTTTGTCACAATAGAAGCACACCACAGTGGAAATCCCGAGCCATAGTTCAAACACTTATCCCAAATCAAAATGAAGCACATATAAGATTAGTTGCAATACCATGTACAAAAATGGTGTTTAACATTGTTCCCTGAGTAATACCTCAATGAAAACAACAACGAAAGCTTGTCACGCAAGTAGAAGGAGTACTGTTGGGCACTTTCTGAAATATTTCAATAGTATAATCCCCTCCCCAATAAATCTATCTGCGTAAAAATTAATAAAATAAGAGTGATTTGCGGCAAAACCCGCCAGTATCGCACCCAACGTCAGTGCCTATACGTAAGCGTACTACTGAATAAAGGAGTAACAAGTGTGATACTATCACTTCAGGCTAGAACTTTGGTTCTCTTATGCAATGGTTCATCAGAGAGAAGAAGCTCAGTAATCCTCATCGCATGTCACGGCATGAGCCAACGATGCCGGACCTAAACCAACCGTCTCCAACGCTCCACTATGAAGCATAAGATTAGGCCCGCCCACCAACGTCCAGGTTAAAAAACTAGCCAATTCAATAATTTAACAATTCAATAATTTAACATTCAAATTCTGGAATTTGAACCGACTGTCATACATTTATCACCATCGACTAGTACTATTTCCCGTCACTAGTGACGCATAAATTTCACTTGGATTCTCACGTGACGTTAGTAACTTTGACTCCATTACACGTCATGTCCACTAAAAATGTTGGTGAAATCGACCATATAACGTAAACAGATTTAGTGTATTTGTGTTAGTATGTAAGGGACTTCAATATTTTCGCGAAACGAGATTTACGTGATTTTCAGGTATGCAAAACATATCTATATGGCATCATCGAGCGTGATAGAAGAGCTTTTCAAAGATTTAAAAGTTCCCAGCAGTTTGCTGCAAATATTGGACGGTAATTTGATTGTTTTACATTAATTAATTTATGGTTATATGTTCTACTTTTATAATTTCAGGAGGTGGCATCGGCATTTTGAGTCTAGTTGTTGTTAGGAAGACTCACATTACATTTTTACCTCACAATAATCAAACAGTCAATAATTTGCAATTTTATGAACAGATATAAGTATCAAATAAAACACGAAGAATTAATATTTGCCCGATAAAATTGCATAACATTGACTGCTTCTATATATACGTTCCATGCATTGTTCTCATTGAAAAGTGAAAGGTATTTTAAACAAAACGGAATGTCACGTGAAACTTACCAGTTCCACAGTAGTTTTCACCCCAAAAGTTACGTGCAAAATAGGGTGGACGAAAACCACCTGTGTTTTCACGTAAATCGGACGTGAAGATTTGTCAGAGTGTAGACTATTGTTTGAAATTTAATGTTATTCATTGACCGAGGAAAACTACCAACTTCAATTCCGGTGCGTCAAACCAGTGTTTGAGGACAGATAAACTGCTCGAAAACGTTAATGTCACAAGAAGTCGAGCAAATGGTTTGTTCAAGCTGGCGTTTGAAATGCGACCTGGTATCGACCATCAGTTTCAGAAAAAAAAAAACTATCAAGAAGGTTGGATGGAAGCTCCATGAGCGAAAGAGACATCAACGTGAACGAGAAAAGGCTGATAGGAATCAATACAGAACATGGCATTAGGTCCTAAGTAACATTGATCGATTCTCTTCGTCGACTTTCTCTTTCGTTAATAACTTGAGCACATAACCGTTTCTTGTTGTGTTTGTCGTATTAGATGCTAGATAAAAGCTTATTTTACCGATATGTGTACTGAAAATACCTGGCAATGTCATTACATGGCCGTTAAAATACAAAGAGAAAGTCGACCAAGAGAATTTGTCAATGTTACTCAGGACCTAATGCAATTTTCAGCTTGATTTATGGAATATAACTTTGATCCTAATACATATTCACAACAAAGATGATGTTAATATGGATTTACACAGCGGCGCCGGTGGTGTAATGGTAAGCGTGATTACCTCTCACCCCAGCAGGCCTGGGTTCAATCCCAGTCGGCGCCACCGGGATGTTCTGGTTAGGTTAGGTTATCTTTATTAGCGAGACTTTCAGCCAGAGGCTGGTTCATCTCTTGAGGGATGTTCTGAAGTAAAGCCGTTTATCCCCGGTTCATTAGTTGATGGGTCGATAGGTAGGGTTCAGGTGTGGGGAGCTGCCTTCCTGGCGTCGTTGGTACTCAGCACGGAAAACAAGATCGACGGAAAACAAATCAAGGAAAAAACAATATGGATTTACACAACACAAAACTTTAGTGTGGACTTGCACGAAATCTTTGCTCCAGTTGCCAAACAAGTAACTTCCCGTTCCTTTCTGACTAGCCGGCTTAAATAAACACTGTCGCAAATAAATTAAACACACTCCCTTATGTTTTCAGAACGTATTTGAGTACTTGAAACCCTTGAAATCTCTAAAACCTCTCAGCACTTCCACGACCTTATGTCAGTTCCTTTGCAGCTTCTTATTATTCTGATTTAGTGCAGAGGACTTCAGAGAGGTTTAGAGGCTTTATAGAAGTTGTATGCACTCCAGCGAAGTCTTAGAATTTTTAGATAAATTTGTTGAATTTAAAAAAAAAGATTA